AGTACTTAATGAGACAAACAACTCTGCTGTACTGATTCACAGTCATGCATCAGAGGTCCTGAGTTCTGGTGAAGTTAGGCAACAATTCTAACAAGATCGAATTCTTAAGTTCTACTCTCAGCAGGAAGAATTTACCTCCATGCATGATGACCCGATGTGATCAAAGCCACCAGAAACTACACCAGGTAAATGCAAATGAACTGGAAATTTCACATGTCTGGACTGGGCATCATTAAATGTCGTCCTGTTTAAACCAACCAATGTTTATTGCTCCCTTTAAAGATAAAAAGGACCAGAATTTTCCCCATGCTTCAGATAAAGTTACACTGACTCCAGAATCAGATAAAATATGCATTCATCAAATCGACTGGAAAGTCCTTTCTGATATAAACTGCCCCAATGCAAAGAAGAGGAAGATATCAAAGAACCACCAAATTGCGTTTTCTAAGGTCAAAGAAAAAACTAGGGTGCTGCTAAGAAAAATGAGGGTGTGGCAAGGGGGCTGTGGGAGATCCTCTGCATGCCACAGCCACCCTCCAGGTGGAGCCCTAATACCATGGTACAGAGAACCTGCCCTCCTCCTGGTTTCCCAGAATAGCTCACCGCTGGTTAAAACACTTGGGTAGAGACATTATAAGGCAGCTATGTGTTTCTGAAATTAGTTTAAATTACATTCTGGGACAGACAACCATCCTAGGAATAGACAGACCCTCAAGGAGTCGTCAACTAGGATCTAATCAGAAATCCCAGGCTCCATAGGTGCTGCTTCCTCCAGGATTTCAGTTCCCTTTTAACTCTCCAGGACCCCCTGAAGCTTTGCTAATTAGCATCATTAAAGTCAGAAATGGGTTTCCATTAGTGAAATTAGTGGCTTGTCAATTAGCATAATGAATGTCAGAAGTGGGCGGAAACTGATGCAGTTCAAATTTGTGGACTAGCCAAACACCCCGACCCTTTTATTTAAAGAGGGTGAGCCCCTTTGTGGTTTCTACAGACTTATGGCTGGTGTTTGCGGTTCAGCGGACCCAAGTGGTTTAACACCCGCTAACCAGTAAATAACATCCTTTGCAAAACTGCCACATCTATCTTCCTTCAAGGTGGGACCAGAGCCTCTTTAATCTCAGAAAGCTGAGACCAGGGAGGTTACAGAAAATTATTTT